ACCACATCACCAAAGCACCCAACATTCCCAATACCAAACACCCTAGGATTCATTTCCTTTCTACCCTCTTACTCAGACGACCAATGCTATAGACCAACCATGGAACCCCACCCACCACCAAGACGACCAAACTTTAAGGGTATGGGTACCCGACTGTACCAAAGTGGATCTTCCAGATATGGAGATCTAACTGATTTCATAGATCCGGAACACATTGACTTTGTTGGGCCATCGATCCTGCCACAACAGGAAACGCGACGAAACCCACCATGGGACAGGCGAGGACGCGGATGCAGAACCGCGGGTCATTACCGGGTTCTGGGGGACCACTAATTATTTTATATTTTTTATTATATAATCGTTTTGTGTAAATAAAAATTCGAATTTTCGTGATCCTATATCGTTTACCTAATGTCCCGCATTTAAAATAAAAAACGAAAAAAAATTGGACCCCATTTGCACTAAGGCGCCATCTCACTTGACTTAGGACACACTTTTAACACCTAAGCGCCAAGTGAGATGGCGCCTCCCCTTTAAATTAAGGTGTAGGCGCCAATTGAGATGACTCCTCCTTTGTGGAGTTTTCTGAAACATGATTATTTGTATAATTTTCTCCGAAACATGGTTATTTGTGAATTGTTTTTTTCAAAACTTGGTTATTGCAAAAAAAATTCCAGTTATAATGTTTCTAATTGGACAACTCTATTTGTATTATCAAAAAAATTTCTTATATCCAAAAAAATTGTATTTATCATTCAAAATATGTTTTTGGTTAAACAATTTATTTTTTATTTCCTTTAATTATTATTATATTTTGAAAATAAATGCGCGAACCATACTTCACGATATTTATTACTCTTTCACATATTTATTAACATATAAAGGAGAAAACGTTTACTTTTGATATTTGTAAAATGAGAACCAGAGATATTAAATGGTATATGGAAAAAAAATCTATTACTGATCTAAATATTTTTATATACGAAAAATTTGCTATTGATCCAAATATTTTTGTAAACGATGCGTAAACAAAAATAATATTTGTATAAGAGAAAAAATATAGTATTGATCTAAATATTTTTATATACGAAAAATGGTACTTATGATCCAAATATTTTTGATTCGAAAATGGTATGCGGAAAAAATCTATTATTGATATAAATATTTTTATATACGAAATTTTATAATTCATTCAGATATTTTGGTAAACGATACCTAAACAAAAATAACATTTGCATACGGGAAAAAATTTATTATTGATCTAAATATTTTTATATAAGATAAATGGTATTTATAATCCAAATATTTTTGATTCAAAAATGATATACGGAAAAAAAATATATTATTGAATTAAATATTTTGATGTACAAAAATTTACTATTCATTCAGATTTTTTTGTAAACGGCGCCTAAGCAAAAATAATATTTATATACAGAAAAAAATATATTATTGATCTAAATATTTTCATATATAAAAAATGGTATTTATGATTCTAAAATGGTATAGGGGAAAAATTATTATTGATCTAAATATTTTTATATACGAAAAAATTTATTATTGTTCTAAATATTTTTGTAAATGATACCTAAAAAAAATAATATTTGTATACGGGAAAATTTATTATTGATATAAATATTTTTATATAAGAAAATTTACTATTATTATTTTATAAACGATATCTAAACAAAAATAAAATTTGTATATGGAAAAAATATATTATTGATTTAAATAGTTTTATATACGAAAAATAATATTTATGATCCAAATATTTATGATTCAAAAATGCTATACGGGAAAAAAATCTATTATTGATCTAATATTTATATATACGAAAAAATCTACTATTATTCAAAATATTTTTTCCTTTATTAACTTTCTAATTAAAATGAATGTATTATGTTAACAAATGTGTGTAACAGACCAGGACATGTGCGTACGCACGAGTTTGTTACTAGTTTTTCAAAATAAAAAAGGAACAAAGCAAGTTTCAATAGGCAACCATTGAAGAGTGCAGTATGAAAAGCGAGGACGGACTCCAAACCAC